CCTCTTCGAAATCCTGCCTGTACTTCTGGTAGTTCTCGGTCCACATACTGCTGGAGCCTAGCTTGTAGGATTTTGAGCATAACTTTGCTAGCATGTGAAATGAGTGCAATGGTGTGGTAGTTTGAACATTCTTTGGCACTGCCCTTCTTTGGGATCGGAATGTAAACTGACCTTTTCCAATCCAGTGGCCACTGTTGTGTTTTCCAAATTTGCTGGCATGATTTGGTTTAGACTGTTGTAATTAATACGCAATGGTTGGGTCTAACATGCACATGTGCAAAAGGGAACGTCCAAATACAGAGTGGCTGTTTTACACCATGTTGGACTTTGTATAAGAAAAGTGAAACTAGACCTCATGAGGATCATCTTGTATGGAGAGAAACAGGAGGACTTCTATAGAACCAACCTAGAACTTTGGAACCATGTCTCCATTTGAAAATCTGGAAACTATTTTTTCGGTGTTCAGGGAATGAGGTCTTCTGGACACAACATGGTGGGGAGAATTGACCTCAAGTGCTAGTGGGACCATCCTGTACGGTGACATTGGCTTTTTTCTGCTAGAACACAGGCTGCTGTCATTCTGGTGGATCTGGGACAGAAACTAGTGTGTTTACCAAAATACAGCTCTGGAACCCCGTCCTTGGAGCTGGGGTTCCAGATAATCTTGTGGTCCCCCAGGCAGTGTCAAAAGACCATGGGATTGTGCCCTATGCTTACTTTCCATGAGTGCTTGCACACCCACATATGAAGGAGAGTAGCTCAAAAATAGATTGGATTTAGAATATTTACTTTGTATTGTCTTTCTATCAGTAAATGTTGTTTATTGAACTTTTACTAAATATCTGTCTACTGACTTTTATTGAGTTTGTGTATTGCAGTTTTGGTATGGTATTTTCCATGTACATCAACTTGAGAAGGATTCTACCCTTGAAGGCAGCACCAAAAGCAACTTTAATAATTCAATAAAAGAAGTCTTCCCCATGCTTCCTTAAGGGATTTTGCCTTACATAAATATGAAAAATATTTTTATATAAATAAAAACAACATTCTTGCTTTGCAGGTCCATTTCTGTGCCCTCCGCTTTTTCATGAGGAGAAGGTAAAATGTGAAGTTAGTTAGGGTTAAGATACAACAGCAACAACAACACAACAACAACAGCAAGGGAGTTCAAGATGATGCAGGTCAAATATAGAATGGAAAATTCCAATGTGCTTCAGCATTAGGCACTTTTTCAGGAGAAGCAGGAAGAAATGTGTGACTTGAAATGAAAAAAAAAATGGTGTCATTTGATCTCTGGTGCATATATCCTTATTCTGTCAAAAATATTTTGGAGATCCTCCCCGTATAAGCAAAATTGCATAGGAAGAAAAATAAAGCAGGGAGATCCACCCACAGTGTGTCCAGTCCCCTGTGCAGAAATAATGATGAAGAAACACAAATCCAGTGGCAATCCAGCCTGCATTCAGTTGATCGCATTAGCTGTTTCTCCTTTGCCTTTTTCAGAGCTTTCAAGTTCGCCTGGGGAAGGGAAAAAAGAAAACACTCTCCCAAATGCAACATCAAGCAAGGGCAGGGTGGGGACAGATTAGACTTCAAAGGTATAAATGGCTTTGGCTCAAAGGCCCTTGCCTTCATTCGAAGGACTTCTCACTGCAGCATGGAGTCTCCAGCTCCCTAACAGTTAAGTGAGTCTCCCCCGCCCCACCCCAAGCTTCCAACGTACAGTGGAGGTGAGTGGGTGAGGGTCAAAAACAAAAAGATTTGTACTTTACACCTGCTAGTTCTTATTTTCACTGTTAATAATGTTATTGGAGGTTTAAAGCACTGGGCGTTCCAGAAAATTCTAAATTCTACAAAGTGAGCTAACAGTGAAAGATCACAGCAGGATGAGTGCCCATATACCCTGGCTTTCCTAGGAAATTCTCAATTCATTATACACATTCCATTAATCAATTGCAAGCAGAAGTAGGTGGAATAGAATTATATTGGGTGACATGTATAGCAGCTGTGCAAAAGGTCTCCTCATGATATGTCTTTTTCTGTTCGTTTTTGATATTTTGGATACTTGGATGACAGTCAGTCTTAAATGTATTTTTCCAAGAAAAAAGGCAGGATATGATTCAAATAAATAAACAAAATTTGGCATTGATCCAAAGATAAGTTAATAGAGGGAAGTTCACAGGAAGAAAGCCCTGATTCCCTTTTCCCATTCAACGATTTGCACAAACCTGCCTCCCACCCAAGGGGTCAGGGAACCTTCTAAACTGTGAGATGAGGAGGAGAGGGCTCTTTCCCAATGTGAGATCTCACACTATTTAAGCGGCTAATGGCTTTTGTGGGGCTTTTAGAAAAGTGCAGGTGGCTACAACAGGAATAGAGGGAAGGGAACCCATCCAGCTGAACTTCTTTCCACTCCTTTGTCATAGGATCCATGCTGAGGAAAACACAAAAGATGTCCTGACGATTCATTATCTTTCCTTTGATGAGAGAATGCTCTAAAAGTTGGCATTCTCATGATGATTTCATATGAATGTGGCAATGGCATCGATGCCACAATACTCAATGACCCGTCAGAACCAGTCTTTTGGCCCATTAGGGCCACAGTGGATGTACATTACTCGCTGCGGGCTGCTAGAGTTCGAACAGAGCTGCATTCGCTTTTGGATAAAGTTATGGTGAGAACATCATCAAAAGCATTACTTTGTCTGCTAAAAAAGAGGAAGCAAGCAGAATTTTGAAACCTTGGAATAAAAACAGGGTGGGCATCCAAATTGCTGCTTAATTGTCCTCAAGTGAAAATGGACTCCCCTGATGCCTCCACAAAACTTCCCCTAAATCATTCAGCAGAACTCAATTAAAACAGAAAAAACCCCTGTGCTGCTCACAAATATGAGAATTTTGGAAAGTCCACATATACAGCCATATGTTCCGGTTAAAAACCAACCACTGCCTGAGATAGCTCTCTTTTAATGGGAACCCAACTAGCTAGTAAAACTCTTCAAGAAAAAAAAAGGGTGAGGGATGCACTTTTACATTTTCCCGAGAACTTAGCATAAAGAAGTGCAAAATGTCCACCACCCCAAGACAAAAGGAACAGCAACAAAAAAGTGGACACTCTTGCCACAAAGTAGGTATATATCACAACACCGCCTTGTCATGAGAAAAGACCACCTGTCCCTTTGCTTTCCCTTCACAGCTTCCCTTTCAGCAACTTCCAGCAAAAAGGCAAAGGAAAAAGAATCTCCTTGGAGTCTCTCGGGGTGATGTCCGGGGTTTGTCCCTGCTGCACTTTGTAAGCAGGTCGCCCCAAGACCATTGTCCCTACCAAGGTTCAAGTCCCAGCATCCACACTGCTGCAGCTAAAACAAAAACAAGCCTTGTTTTGTACACATGTTATGTACATTTGAAAAAAAAAAATCTGCCACCTACTGCTTGGGCACTTTGGGGAGCTATCAGTGGCTCGTCCGAAGAGAGAAAGCAACAGCCATTTTTGCAATCTCAGATGAATAAATGGGAGAAGGCCACAGCAAGCCAAAACACTTGCAACTCAGATGATTAAGTTGCAAATCACTCCTTCACTCCCACCATAGGGAGTGGGGGAGACTATCAGCCCTGCCTCAGTGTCCCCTGGGATATTTGCAGGAGGAAAAAGCGGGGTGGGGGGGAATCCATGGTGAGCCTGACAGTCCAACAACCAAGCTGGGATGGTTTGTGAGTCCCAACACACTCGTTCTGAGCTGTTCTGGTATTTGTACACTGAATTAATTGAAAGCTCTTACACTGAGGTGGGGTGTATCTTGCCTTGTACAAGTCTATAATGTGAACATAAAACCTACCTAAGCTAGAAGGTGCATTCCATTAATTACTTGTTCTTACAATGCCCTGTATGCTCACACATCATACAGAAGTAAAAAGTATGGCATTTTTCCAAAGAATGCAACACATGGTTATGTTCAAGCATGCCTTAAGAACTTTAAATTATATCCCCCTTTCTTTCCTTCCAAGGTGGATTACATAATCCTCCTCTCAATCTTTTCACAACAACCCTGTGAGGTGGGTTGGGCTGGGAGTCTATGACAGGCCCAAAGTCACTCAGTGAGCTCCATGGCTGAGTGGGGACTAGAACCCAGATCGTCTGAGTCCCAGTCCCATGCTCTTAACCACCACACCACACTGGCTCCCAATGGGCATTTTACATCAATACAATGTTGATTGTGCCCCTCTGCTGTTTGATTGTTATATCAAAAACATCATGTGACAAAGAACTCTGGGGGAAAGCATGTTTACTTTATTTTGCTTTGCTCTGTTTCCATTCCTAGCTGGTATTCATTTGACCAGCAATAGTTTCGCCAAGAGTGTTGACAAACAAATAGAATTTTTTGATCTTTTCTTCCCCCTGTCGAATACTAGGTATGATATGTCAGAGCAATCTGCTGTGCTGAAACCACAGTGCGAGAGCACAAGAATTGCTTTAATGGCCCTTTAAACTTCTGCTCAAATGCATTCCAGGTGAGTTTGTGCGCCAAACAGAATAACCCGAGACACAGCCTGCAGCTGAACTGGTGTCACGTGGGGGAAAGAGCCGCATTCTGTTAATTGACTGCCACAGGAGTGTGTTTCCGATCTTTTCTGTAACAGAGTCAGCACTCCCCCTCCCTGGCACATTGCCAGATTGCCTTAGAAGTGCAATGATCACACTTATATCCTAATGCAGCAGAGTTGTGTTAGTCATGATGTTATACTGCCTAGGAATTTGCAATTTCCCCATGCCTGTTGTCAAATGAAACATAACCCAAACTGTTATCCGAAGACTGTCATAACTGCATCGGCTAGAGGACTGTTGGCTCATCTTAGGCAGAAGTCCCAGCCTTTGAAATTATTGGAATATGTCCTAAAAAAGAGAAATATAAAAGTCACAGCACAGCAAAACCAGGATCAGGTTTGGATAGCTAACATAAATTTTTATTTACTTATTTTCCCATATGATTTGGACCAGGCCTCATTTTCCTTATTTTGTATCTGGAGAAATCAAAATGACTTAGATCCACAACAAAAAGGTTACGAGCTCTCACTCAGTCTCTCCCTTCATCCAGAGACACTCGGACGCTGTGCTTCTAATGGGCATGTACCATTCAGTGGGCCCAAAGAAAACCAACCCACATACCCAGAACTCTGTGCTCTTTGAGGTGGAACTGACCACGCCAATGAGTGATGTAGAGGGCCCAAAGCTCACAGGGGTGCAGTCCTAGCACCTTTGGATCTGCAGGGACACTGAGGTCATCTGCTGCCACCCTTCCCATGACCAACACAACCACCCACCCACCTCTGACTGCTTTGCCACCTCTGAGCTAGTCTGTGGTGCTCACAGTGGCTGGGAGAAGGGGGAATGCATTTTCCCAGTAACAAGATCATGTTCCCTGTTGTGTTTTGGAGCAGCTTGATCCTGAATGGACAATGAAGACCCCTTAGCTTTACAAAAGAGGGAGATGAGAACTGCTAGAATTTGTTTGTGGATATAGGTCAACACAGCTGCTGGAATGTTTGAACTCTACCTGGTGGCGTGACAAAGGTGTCATGCAGAGGTGGGTAGAGACCTGTTCTCCCCTGCAGAGAAGGGTAGGACGCCTTCCAACGCAAAGCTCAGGGAACCAAGGTTCAATTTGGATGCCAGGAAGTACTTCCTGATGGTTAGGACCCTGAGGGTATGGAATGGGTTTCCACAGGAGGTGGTTGAGGCCCCATCAGTGATGAGGCCCCATCATCAGCCCCATTGGTGAGGGTGTTCAAGGATAGACTGGAGATGCACATGGTAAGCATGTCATGAGAGGAGCTGGCTGGAGGCAGGGGTCAGACTAGATGGCCTGGGAGACCCCTTCTGACTTACTCTGTTTCCATGTTTTTGTCTCTAAATCTAAATGTGAAATATAAAACCAATCAAATACAATGCATCAAACAAGGGATCAGTGGAGATGAGATAGTTCTGATTAAGAAATCAGAGAAATTATGTTTGCCTCTTTCTTCACCTACTTGTGAATCTGCATCATTTTCAGTGTCTTTCCAATTATGGATTCAGTTTTAACATCCATGAGCTCAGTTTCCTTTTTCCCAGAACTCCCTGTTTGAAAATAGACTGATCCATGTCAATGCACATGTGCATACAAGCATATAACACACATGTGGTAGTTTAAATTTATATTGCTATTTATATCCTGCCTTTTTCCTACAAAGGGCTCAAGGCAGCTTACATCATTCTCCTCCTCCATCTTATCCCCACAACAAGAACCCTGTGAGGTAGGCTGGGCTGAGAGTCTGTGACTGGCCCAAAGTCACCCAGTTGGCTCCATGGCTGAGCGGGGACCAGAACCCAGATCCTCTGAGTTCCAGTCCCATGCTTTTAACCACTACACCACACTGGCTCTCAAATATCAAATATCTTAAATATCAAAACAATATTTTATTGTTACTTCTAGGAGGCAGCAGCAAGAGATCATCTTCTTGTTAAAACAGCCTAGTGCTGACCTGGTCCCCCCCATATGTATGAATTCTTATCTTTTGGCAAGTCCTGTATGTCACA